CCCCAAAACCCCAAAACCCCAAAACCCCAAAACCCCAAAACCCCTGTTGATTTCGCTTAATTGAGGTATATTGTATGAAAAAATCTGAAAAAGTGATATTTTTCTTAGAAGACTAACTGTCCTCTAATTAAACAGATTAGCTATAATCTGCCTGGGAGGGCTCACCCATAAGGGCACCCTTCCCTCCTAACTTAGGATTTAATCCCTTAGAAGTCAAATTTGGACTCCCGAAGTTAGTCTGAATGTCATGAGAAGCTTTTACTGCACCAGAGTTACTGATAGAATTTGGGTGGCTATAACCCGATTTTCCTAGTGCTTTTGGGCCCAACACTGCAAAATTGTTGATATATTCTGGTGAAATTAGCCGATGCTGTTGGTATGGTTTCTTTGAATCACTGTTATGTTTATTCTTTCCATAGAAATCATTATTTTGATGGATAGGCTTGCTATATTTGCTGCAGTTACTTGACCCAGAATTTTTCCTTGTCGAAGAATTTTCTGACTTTTTAATTCTCAATTTCTTAACGTCCATCTTCTTATCTGTCAAAAACTTGTAATACTGTTCATATACTTGGTTTATTAAATTCTCTGTCAATTCTCAGGCTCTTTGATAAGTTTCCTTATACTTGGAACTGACACATAAATGAAGGGGTTCGTTGCTCTCTTCCTTTTTAGGCCCCTCCAAATACTTTGATCCCTTTCCTCTTAGTCTTAGCTTTGCGATGTCATTTTGCTTTAATTTGATATCAGGGAATACTTTCATGCCTGTGTCAACTCATTTATTAATGATTCTCTTCATATTGTCTCCATTTGACCCGATAATTTTATTTGCCAACCTGAAAATCTATGTCATCAATCTGTATTTCATATTTTCAGGTGAATTTATGACCTTCAACATTGATGTTTTTAGTTGAACTACCTCTTTGTTTTTTCTTTTTGACCTGATTCTTCTTATTTAAAGAAGGGTTTACCCTCCTGTCCGTAATAAGCTTCATCAAGCCGATGGTTTAACTTCTTAGATTCACTCAGACTCTTACATTTATGATGCCTTGATGACTCTTTAGGGAAAGATTTCACCTCAGGACTTGAAAAATTGTTTTTGTTGTGATAAAAACTATCACCTATGTATTGTTGTCCGTAATAATTCGGATTGCTAATTACAATAAATGCTGTTAGATTTGACATCTATCAGCTGAATTGAGTTAATGTATACGTGCTTGTTGAAGACTGACTGAATATCAGCCTCCGTAAGTTGTCCCTCTGCTCAATAGATTTGGAGAGATCGAGTGGTGAACTCATCTTTTAGGTTTAGCAGATAATCTAGCACTTTCTGCAATCCGTCAAGTTCATGCAAAGTAATGGAAATTACTGGAATATCATTATGATGATCAGACCACCGCTGAATTTTATTCTCATAACCGTAGATGTCAGTCTTGTAATCAGAATACACTCAGCTTGATCCAGATCCCATATGGGTGGCATCTCTGTTGTTATAATAGTAATAATGGTCTGAAAAATTGCCATAAGAGTTGTCTGATGGGACCCAGTTTGCACTTGATGCATCACTTTCATCTAGGTTACTTCCTTCATGCTCTTGAACACTTGTCGCACTGTAATTATACCCCATAGACCCTGAATCTATATTGCTCGTCTTGTGCCCATAGTCAGAAGAAGGACCTGCAAGTTTGAATTCTTTACTTTTTGAATTCAGCTTAACTCTAGGTTTAGGAAGAATAACTAATGAGGGGTTCTTCTTCCTCTTCATCAGAATTGATCAAATTATCAACTTCTTTTTCTTGATCCAGGCTAAACAAGGATCTTTCTACTTCATTTTCAGACATTGCCAAATAAAAATGATAATCAATTCATTGGAAAACTCATGGGGTTTTGGGGTTTTGGGGTTTTGGGGTTTTGGGGTTTTGGGGTTTTGGGGTTTTGGGG